GTTTCCGTGACATCCAAGTCTAGACGGCCACAATAACGGTTGTTCACACTAGTCAACACGCCGCGACACCAACTTCCAACTAAAAGCCTCACAAGCACTACTGTACATGGACATCAATGCATTAGTAACCTATTGTTCTGAAGTGAACCCGAAGAAGCAATTGTGGCTGCTAGCTTGACTTTAACAAACCCACTGCGGACTGCCCTGCCAACAGTAACTGAGCTGCAATCGCAGACGTCTGTGGCTGCAATATTCTTGGAACGCAAAAGCACACCGAGGCAATCGAAATATAGAGTGCACATAACTATTCACAGTACGCATGCGCACCAGCGCACCGCTTACGTGCACCCCTCCCTATAAATTATCATATAGCGTCTGGCTCCTGATAACATCAACTCGCTGAGATGAAGTCTCACAATATAGTGTAGCTGCTGCTTATCCTAGAAGAGGCAGTTGGAAAGGGGGGGGTGGAAGTGTGTAAAAAGTGGTGCTGTACTTAATCCAGATGAAGGGCGAAATTTTGGGGAAGCGAATTAATCCGCCATCCCTTGTGATGAGTTCAGTGAGGAGGCAGAAGGCAAACGGGGCCAGAGACTCTTCTGGGCATCGGTGGGGAATGTGAAGGGGAATTGAAATGCAGCACAAAATCTGGACAATTTGGCAAAGGTGTTCAGAATACAATTGCAGTAAGTCAGGTCACGCATATTAAATAGGCTGATAACAATCGGACAAACAAATGCGCCCGGGTTCACGAAGGCACGCATGATCTTCCTGAGATCTGATCCATACACCACGCCTCCATACATCTTTTCAGAAAGCTGTTGTGTGTTCATTTTTCAAAATGACGACAAAATATAAATAATATGTAATTGCTTCTTTGACTAATTTCAGTGCATTTAATAAACTTGAAGTGAAAGTGCACGCTTTGTAAGTGGCTCTCAAATGAAAAAGTTGGTCTTAGCTGATGTGCCAGCTAAACCTTGAGAAACCTCAGTTTTCACTTTAAAGCCTGATGTAAATTAAACAAGAACCCCTTTCTGAGGAAAAAGAGGAACATCACTTTTTTCATAATTGCATTGCAATTTAAAAGGGACATACAGTCATATGGAAAATTCATACATGGCAATTTTCCGCGGATCCGCGGAAAATTGCCATGTATGAAAATTGACTTTATACCTGTAAATGTCATTTATACAAATAGGTTTCTGGAGTGCTTACTCATCAAATATGAAACTGAACAGCCAGGTGAATTATGTACATCAGGGGTCCCCAACCGCCGGTCCGCGGACCGGTACCGGTCCGCAGGGCATTTGGTACCAGGCCGCACAGAAAGAACTTGCCTTAATTCCGTTTTATTTATTTCGGAATACGAAAGACGTTTTATTTTGAAAAAATACCGGATTCTCCGTTACATCCGTCTGTGTCACGCTTGACACACGTCAAGCCGCGCTTCTCCGTCACGTGACCGATTACGCTAAAAACAAAACGCCAGAGCTCGCAAAATGAGTAATAAAACTGCTGGAGAGCGCAAATGACGGCGGCCTTAAAAGTACGTTCGAGACAACTGGATTAAAGTTATGGCTGAATATTCTGAGATCGCCACAGTAGCACTGTTGCTATTTCCGACATGCTACCTGTGTGAGGAGGGGGTTTTCTGCAGCAACCGCGACTAAAACAAAATTACGAAGTAGACTGGACATAAAACACACACTTGAGGTGTCATTTTCTCCAATTACCCCGAGATGGGACCGTCTGGTTGCAGAAAATCAAGCTCGGGGCTGTGTGTGGTGAGTCGTCATTTTCATGCACTTTGAATTTGCGTTGTAGCGTATTTTGAAGGCATTTACCATAGCGATCAGAGAGAGTGTTGCGGCCAGATTAGACGCTCCTTGTGTTTATTATTATATTTCGAAAACACCACAGTTTCCATGCAGCTCATACCATATTATTTTGTTGTATTATTTCCGCCACACCTTCAATGCCGGTCCCTGAAAATATTGTCTGACATAAACCGGTCCGTGGGGCAAAAAAGGTTGGGGACCCCTGATGTACATGACCGAGTTTCTCCTCCCATGAAATGAACTGCTGTGTGTGTGTGTGTGTGTGAGAGAGAGAGAGAGAGAGAGAGAGAGAGAGAGAGAGAGAGAGAGAGAGAGAGATAGTGTGTATGAAGTGCTGTTTCAGTGAATGAAAATGCTTACTTTTATTCCTCTGTTCCCTGCCTGTTCAATCAGTAGATGGATGAATGAATAACATTTAATTATTTTGTAGTTCTCCAAAAAGGTTTAGTGGATTATGATCAAACTAGAATTTAAAATGTTTTTTTTAAATTGTAATTAGTTAAATTATTGTATTCATGACCCCATTGTGGAAAAAAGTGAACAGCGTTGCTCGTCCATATGTAATAAAATCCTAAATTTATTATTATTATTATTATTTTTTTTTAAAAACAATGCATACGGGTTTCTAAAGTGTCTAGCCAACTAAGCCCTGTGTCACTGTGATCATCAGAGGAGAACAACTGGATTTGTTTGGCTCTAATCACCTGACCGCTTGGCCCTCCCGTCTGGGAACAGGAAGTGTGACATCATCGCCCTGACATTCAGGAATGTGGGAATGTCAGGCTCTCACAACAGCGAGCAAACGGAGGAACGCCAACAGCGCAACAGAGGCTCATCTCGTTCAAACACGGACGGGGAGTGACTTGCATCTGTTTTTTTTTTTTTTTTTTGGTATTTTAATGCAATGGCCTTTGTGACTGTTACGACCAACAGAGGTGCGTTTACCTGCGCAAATAAAGGCACAGTTCATCCATATAACCGGCGATGAACTCAAAGGCAAACGCTTGAGAACACGACAAGATGAGTCAGCTTGACGAGCCTCTTTTGTCGGCTCACATGACACGCACAATCCTCAACGGGACTTTTACACGGATGGCAACAAGCAAACAAGACCTCCGAGACTTGCTTATCAAACTGGGTACATTATGTCTTGACAGAGCGTGGAATCAACACAGAAATAATCATCAGGATACAATGGCAGACCAGTCCAGGGTGTCCAATTCCCACGTGCTGTCCTCACTGCAAAATGACGAATACAAATATGCTTGACCGAGTATCGCTTTTTACCACAAGAAGTGTCCGAACTTAACAAAAAGAAATAAATAAAGGTAAGATGTGGAAACTGCAACTATGAAATCAGCATGCCGAGTTCAGTTTAAAGCAGGGGTGTCAAACATACGGCCCGCGGGCCGGATCCGGCCCGCGAGATGATTATGTAAAGCATCAGTGTCAAACATACGGCCCGCGGGCCGGAACCGGCCCGCAAGTAGGTTCAATCAGGCCCGCAGGATAATGTAAAAGTGAAAAAAATGCATTAAAGACACAGAATTAATATTTTTAATCAGGTGCAATTCATTGAGTATCCGCAAGGGGACACTGTTTTGATCAGAGAAGAAGACAACAGCAGCCTCAGTCTGTCACTGAGACAGACCCATGACAGCAGACGCTATCAATAGCACTCTCAAATTTACACATTTAATAGCACTCTCCTTAGTTTGTAAGGTGTAGGCAGGGATTACATTTAGATTTTATATGCACGTGTAAATGCTTTAAAACTTGCTTTCTTTATGAATCTTGTTTAATCTTAAAGTGCATTACTATATTTTTCAATACCAATTACTTGTTAAAGTTTGTACAATCAGTGGGATCAGTTGCAATGCATATATGTGAATGATAAAAGTAAATTGCACATTTGTCGAAGGAAATGTAAGGTGCTTCATGAAATGTTTTGTAAAAGATATGTTCATTAAATTTCAACATTTTCCTAATGTTCTTGTGCTTCTTTATACCAAAACAAAGGAAAGACATATTGTTTTGGTTATTTATAGCAAAGTATTGTATCATTTTAATGGTCCGGCCCACCTGACATCTACCGAGGCCGTATGTGGCCCACCATGTGAAATGAGTTTGACACCCCTGGTTTAAAGAGAGGCTGAAATCTGAGGCGTTGGACAATTTCAAGTCAAACAATGGCTCAAAAGTTCAAATAGCCGATTAATTTCAGAATGGATTGCTTGTTGATTCATCGATTTCATTCTGACACCTCTAATTTTAAAAATGTCACGGTGATACACAATGAGTTATGTAAACCACTGCTGGTCACTCCCGCAGATTCATCATCGCCTCAACGCCAAATACTCCACAGTCGGCACTTTGCTGCAGCAGCCCTCAGTCTCGGTTGTTTGCATGTAACCTGAGCGATAGATTGACTGCGCTGTGCTTTTGATAGTTTTGGTGCCGGTTTGAAGTGCATCCAACCAGAGACGAGTCGAAAAGCAGCATTACTGCCCCTTTGGCACAGCACGGTCTACCCACTTTTGGCGCGTTTGGATCGGCAAAAGCAGCAAGCAGGTATGTTGAGCAAGGGAGCCGCCGCTTTTAATCCGCTGCTGCTCACTCAGTGGTCATGCAGATTTGAAATCACCTGAATACAATATTGTCCTCTCCGTTTTGCTGCAGCAGCCCGTGACCTCTTGGCCTTGGATGAAACGTGTCTCGCTATCATAAAAAGCCAATAGAGAGCCTTGAAGTGTGTCACGATGGCACTTTGTGAGCGTGTCTCGTTTTGGCATTATTTTGAAGTGCTTCCAAAGGAGAATGAATGGCTGTCTGTTTGACAAAAACAGGAGGTATAGATAGAAGATGCCAAAACTAGTCCATCGACAAAAGCTGGACAACTTTGTCTCAACTTCCCAAAGCTGTTTGAGATTCCAAAGGGATGCAAGCCCAGCAATGGCCTGGAAAAGCCGAACCCCGTAAACCGGCTCCGGTCCAACTGATCCCCTCTCAATAAAATGCGCTTGCTTCCCTTTGCCCTGCCATGCAGTGGAATGACACCAGCAGCATTCCCCAAATGTTTCCCACATCTCTCCAAAGACAAACGCATGTTCTCACTGTGACACAAGCTGGAGGACGGACCAGAGCCGAGCTCACACTCACCCCGGTAGCGGAGGCCGTCGGCGTGGTGCTTGTGCTGCCGGTGGTGGTGGTTCTCCAAGGGGGCCGTGCCGCCGGCTCCAAGGCCGGCCAGCCTGCAGTTGGTGGCCGTCAGCTCCGAACGCAGGTTGCTGACTTCCTGGCCGGCCGAGCGGATGGCCCCGTCGATGTGGCGGGCCAGCTGCTTGTTGTCCTCCATCATTTTGAGGACTTTCCCCTGAGGAGCGGATCCACACAGAGGAGCGGCATGTTGTTAAAGTTGACAAGAGGATACCAGTGGCAACTCCTCCACCTGTGCCTCCGCCTCTCTGCCGGTAACTTCAAAGAAAGAGAAACCGCCGTCCGCCAGGGGGATGACGTCTACGCGCTACTGCATCATCGGCACGTGAGGGCAAAGAAAAAACTCGGGAGACGGAGAGACGGAGGAGAACGTGCGGTGAGCAGCTGCTCTCAGAGAAGGAGGGAGTGAGATGACATGCAGCCTTTGAGCGGACTGTACCATGTGCTGCAGGACCAGGGGGAGTGAGAGTGAGCGGGAGACAGCGAGAGAGAGAGAGAGAGAGAGAGAGAGAGAGAGAGAGAGAGAGAGAGTGGTGGGATGCACTACAAAAACTAAAATTGAATCAAGATTATCTCAAATCAAGGCAAAAAAAAAAAAATGCTTGTTATTTGCCAAGGTATTACTTTTCATCCGGCGGATTTTCACTCACTCCAAGCATATCTTAATCACCGTATTCTAACAAAGTGAGATTTTATTTCTGTAAATGAGTTTGTTTCGTTTCAAATAACACATACCCGCAATTCTATCAGTGCAGTTTGAATAGACGAGTGGTCGTGTAGGAGGCTAGCGAGGTTCATTTGTTTTAAGAAAGCTCGCCAAGTCAACTTCTCCCATTTTATTGGCAGCTTTTTTTTTTTTTTTTTAATATATTCCTCATGTCATTATTTTAAGAAGCCCATTTTTTCAGTGGGTTATGATGCATTCAGTGTGTTGCGTCTCCCACACCCTTGTGGCGTCTGTTACCAGTTAGTGAGTGAGCGCTGCGGTTTCTTCTCACCCACTCTCAGTCCCACTCTCTACGAGCCCCCTTTGACGAGCACTCCACCACCCCGCTGTCTTTCGGTCTCTCACGCCCCCCCACCCGCTCGTGCCACCCCCTCACCCACCTCCAGTTCATACCATTATATATTCATCTCTTTTGTCCTGGGAAAAAGCGCACCCCCCCACCCCCATGTTGGTGGGAGAGGAAAAGGAGGGGAAGGGAGGGGGCTGAAGGCGCCCAAGGGGGAAACTTTTCAACTGTGAGTGTAAAGACAGAGAGAAAGAGTGAATGAGGCCCATTGAAGCGCAATGGAGAACAGTCAGACGGATTCCATGAAGGCGAGCGAACAGAAAGTGTCACCATCACTTTTGTGCGTGCGCGTAAACGTTCCATCAAACAAGCAAACAAACAGACTGATGGATGGAAAAAAAGTTTTGCTGAGATGTGTTAAGTTGACACGTCATTTGCAATGTATGACAACGTGCAGGCCGCGATGCATCGCTCAGGCGGGGTAAACACAATGATAAATGCGTCTATTTTGGGCCTTTTCTCTGCCTAATAGAAGAGTTGGAATTCTAAAAGGTTATCCTGGGCCATTATCCTGTGGTGTGGGGTGGGAAAATGCTGAAGGCCGGGAACGCACATATCAAAAATTGGGCTGAGTTTGAACATCCCCCTCCCCCTTCCTATCAGCAAAAGACAAACTATTGATGTCTCTAAAGGAACACTGTGGTGTGAGGAGTGATTGGAATGATTTTTCCTTCTTGATCGGATAGCAAAAACAGTAGTGGCAGAAAATGATATGTGTTTAAAGTGAGGTACACATAAGTCAAATTCCTAAATTGAGCATTTTGCCTTTCCGACCAAACAGCAAAAAACTGCTAATCAGATGTCGTTAAAAGATTATCCTGCAAGATTATTTTGTGACGTGGGTGTGTCCAGAGGGATCATTTCTCTCAGGTGGGCCCTCAAAATGGTCACGGCAGAAAATTGTGAATGTTTGAAGCAAGGCAGACTCATACTGACAACTGGGCCCAATTTCAGCATTTCTTTCTGATCAACGTCAGCAAAGGTTCAATTATCAGAGGTTGTTGAAAGAGTAACCAAACGTAATCTGAAAAATGACATCAAAGCTGAGCTGTGACGTGTCGTTACCTGAGCCCTGAGCAACTGTGATGTCATATTCAGTCGACAGCAAGGGGCATAATGGCCGCCCGATGAAATGGCTTGTGGGTCTTAATATTCCATAAATGCGATACTAATCCGAATATCGTTTTCAGACTTGTGGGCCCACATAGAACATTAATATCAAGACCATTTTTGACTTGACTTCCCCTTCAGGATGGTGCGTACCCTGTCGTAATCCAAGGCGAGCCTTCATCGTACTCAAGAGTGCGGCAGCGACAAGCAACAAACAAGGGCGGAGGTGGCGAGCGTGTGAACGCACCGCTCTGTTTATTCGCTGGGATGGAGCATCAAGGCCTCACTCTGTTCGATGAAGACACCAGAGGGCCCCCCCCCCCCGCACCCCCAAGGCTTCATCACCTGTGGCATGTGTCAACACTCATCAAGGATGTCAATGACTCAAAGTCTTCTTGATGTTAAAAGATCTTTGGTAAGCGCAACCCGAACTGATGAGATTTGACAAGGTGTTAAATGGGACGGGGAAAATGGGATGTCTACCACTTGACTGGGATATTCATCATAAAGTCTCAGTCGAGCTTTTCGAAATTGCAGACAATCAAAATCCATTTGGGATTCATTACGAATCTTTTTTTTTTAAAGCTTTCTGTGGCGGTCTCCTGCTCTCCTGCTGACATCATTCATTGCCAAATCAATTTTATATATAATACAGAGCCAAGTATCAGGTAGTCCTCCAGCCAGCTGGGCACAACTGCTTTTTTTGTGGTTTTTAATTGGGCTTGAGGGTATACATAGTCTGGCTTCACTGATTCTGCTTCACAACACGTGGCCAAAAAAAACTGTTGACTGATGTTGTCGAGTCAAAAAATTGTAAATTCAAAGCATATCAGTACACTGTCAATTGAAGATAAATTGAAAGAAGAGGAAAATAAATGTCAAAGTATGAGAGGGCATGCGAGGAGGAGGTGGGGGGCGGAGTGGGGGAATCATTATTGCTTCAGCTGTGGTGTCGTTTGCATGTCTGGTCCCATCTCCTATCAGCGGATCATTCTCAAAAGTCTAGACTGTGTCTGTTTAGTGGCCGTGATACAGGACACGTTGGATGACAGCGACGACCCCCGCTGTCCCACTTCAAACCTTGATGTTGTTATTTCCAAGCAAACGAGTTCAGTGGGAGCCATGTGGGGCGGCACCCCCCCCCCCCCACTGTGGAATGTTCGGAAATGAACGATCGGAGCGGGTGAAAGGTCGCAGCCTGTCCCAGATACACATCAATAAGCGGACAGGCACTGAAAGGAGACGCCGCCGCTGGAGCAAAACTCACGCGTTGACTCCTACAACAGCGCCTACTCACTCTCGACTCAGTTTCTCCTCACGTGTCGGCACTCGGTTAACGGCTTGAGTTTCATTAAGTGTATTGTGGTGTGTGGCGTTAACAAGCGCTATTGATAAACAGTCACGATGAACATCTGCTTGACTTAATTGAATATCGACTAATCCTCCATAGCAACGGGATGCTTTGCATTTTTAACCCAAGAGCAAAAAGTCATACGCTCAACCAATTACACTGTGCAGAGATCCCATCGGCTTGATGTTGAATATTCCGAGAAAACATGAGCATCTGAGTGCAGGGATGCATATATTTATGTTCAAGGTTCCAAAAACTGTCCGATGTTAATCCATATTTGTGGATGGTTTATATTTAATCCAGAGTGACAATTCAATAGTGAACGTATGGTCAAGCCTGTAGTGATGCCACTCGGGGTTTAGCTAATGTGTTTATGAAGAGACCAAAATCTCTTTAAGCCAACATCAATGTGGCCACAGATCATTGTGCTGCCAACGTGAGAGATAAATAGATGGATAGATTAATTTCAGACTATATTCCACCATTAATGTATCCCATAACATGTACAGGGCAATTTCATTTTATAACTGGGGTTGTGGCTACGCTCAGAATTAATTGAACACGGCTGTCGCCATTTCAAACACTCCCGATTCACTCCAAATCAAGTTCAGCCGTTCTAGTAGGCATTTCATGACGTTGTTGTCTTCCAGCATCTGCAGGGAGCTTCCGCGGTAACGCAGGGATCTGACTGGTTAAAGTTATCGGAGAAGAGTGCAGAAGAATTTCCTTAAGAATTGCCTTATTTCACAAACTCTGGCGGCAACTGGCGAAAACCCGCATGAAATCTCTCAAAGATGTGCGAGAAAATGAGTTACGCTCGAATGTGGCGCTCAGCGATACGATCTTTACCGTGGCGAAATGGAGATATGAACATATTAATATCGGAATGAGGACAACTGTCATGACCTTGCCACACTTGTGTTGCATGTACATCTCAGTGCGACCAACCGCGTTCCTTCTTCCACGTTCGGCATTGATCGACAGTTAAAACCAGCGGATAATGATCTTGCGTAGGGCGAGAGTGAGGAGGGACACATGCAGCCCCCGCACCTAGACAGTCAGTACCCATCCAATAAATTCACTTCTGGGTTCACTGTCAAGTATATACGGATGGTACACGTATCTTGTGTTTTACAACATTACGTGACCATATTTATAATGTCAAAACTACCAGTGGATAAAATAGCAACACTTGTAAAAATGTACAAGCAGCCTGCGCCTCACCGGTCCATTCAATTGGGTGTGCATGGACAGATTCGTCCACAACAACACACATTGCTGCAGTTAACACAAGCATGGAATGCACGCATGCACGGCTGCAAACACAACAAACGCTTCTGTTGTAGCATATCATCATTCAAGCACAGTTGCAGAACGACGTAAATCGCATTATTTGTAATTTATTCCCGACTTTGTTAGTGTTGATGGCTGTCAGTAAGTTAAAAAAAAAAAAAAAAAAAAAAAAAAAAAAAAAAAAACCTGACACTTTCCACATTTTTTTTTTGGACTGATATTTTGTTTTTTCTTTTAAAACAATACTTTGTTTTCACAGGAGTCATTGTAATATCGTTACAGTATCATTATGAATGTTTCTGGCAAAAATATTGAGATCGAACATTTTAC